ACTTCCCATGACATGAACAGGGCATACACACAATAAAGAATAACACAAGCAAAAACATTATTCAAAATTATAGGATCATACACTAGTTTATTTGTGCAAGAAAACAGCTAACACCGAACGTACTTTTGGCTCGGGAAGTGAATTCACGCATTGCAATCATGTGGAGTAATTTTGTAGTAGCCAACTAAATCATGGCATGTCTCATTAAAATCGCGAAGTTAGGCGTATAAAAAAGCGAGTAGGGTTGCAGTCAGTCACCTTTTCGCTTGGTTTAGTATATTTCTGCTCTATTTCGTGAAGTATAAATTGCTGCTCTGATGATGTCTGTCACAGCACAGACGAAACCTAGTATAGTTTCATCAGGGTAGCAGGACGGTGAGCTGAGGACTTCTTTGCACAATTCAATAGTGTTCCTTACACAGCAATCCTCCTTCGTTTTCCAGTGAGACCAGATAACTAATTCCTTCCGACCAACTTTTCCTTCGAAATGGAAAGTAATTTCACGATTTGTGACAATATTTAAAAAATTAGTTAGGACCAGGTGAATCAAATCAGGAAAGCGAGGGTTAAGCTTTCGCCTCCAGGCTTCCCGATATACATTCAAACTTTTCTGCCTTTTGTAAAAATTGTAAATCCGAATGCGATTTAAAGCTTTTTACCATTTAGGTGCATTAATCCCACTCTAGCAAGACTTGTAAGATATAAAACTAACCAATATCCAGTTAAGAGTCACCCAAGAGATTTAGACACCTTTGTGTCAGAATGATTCAGACGTTAACCTTGGAATTCGATTACACAGGACCCATTTGAACCCCAAAAACAGGCCCTCTTCAAGGTTGAATAGTAGGGTTTGGCTTTGGAATAACTTATCTATCAGACACTTTAAGCCCTACTTTAAATAAAACAGTATAATGGATTAATCAGGCAGATAGAGCATTCTGCTGATGACTACTTAGCTCAACTCAAAGGCAATTTTTCCTAGGTATTTATATGTCAGCACAAAAATCTTAATTTTTCATTGTTGCCACCTATTCGCTATTCTTGCAGGACAGCACGTAGTTAAGAGCTTTAGGCGTAAAAACTTCAGCCTCATTTGAAACATGATTGTGATTCTTAATGACCAGTATACGGCGGGAGTTATAAAAGGAGATTAAGCGAACCGATTCTGGGGTTATTTTAACATCGCATGAAATCTAAAGCCAATTTTTAATAAAATGGAATAAGCTCAGTGAACTGAATAAATATAATGTAATTGCTAATAACTTGCTTATCTTACGACTATCTCCATTAACCGAAGACTAGCGCTGATTCTATAAAATAGGCCTAGAGTAGGATAACATAGACATTTGAAATTAATATAGATTGATTTAAAATAATTTATGGAATATTCATAAAATAGTATACCTAGAAATCTAGTATTCCTTATAGTAATAAAAAAAATTAATTCTGCATAAGCTTCTAGTTTAAAGAATGTTAGTCTCAACACATCATACTGTGTAATAGACACGATATTAACCTATATATACATATATATAGCAATTTTTTCTTTTTATTTATGTAGGATTCATACACATAGATATATTATTTCCACAATTTTTTCGACTTAAAAGTGATAGAGAATGAAACTATTAACTGCCAAAATGGAAGATTCCGAACCCGCATAATTAGAAAATTTCAGTCACCTGATATCCTCTGCTGCGGTGTGTCTCTAAGGCCACAACTGGACTAGCTTTGACTGCACTGCAGACTAGACGGACGGCGGGCAACAAGGAGAAATCGGAGTTGGTACCAGTTGCCATAGCAACTACAGCCAGAAGCAGATGGCTAGTAGAACCGGCAACTGCGTCAAGGAGCCCGTTGGCAAGAGGGCTACGTGGTGTGAATGCACGTACGCCCTGATATCCGACAAGAACAGCACCTAAACATCGTGCTGGGCCTGAGAGATGAGCAGCAGCATTGTGAAGCAGGCGAATAGGAGTGGCGTTCTCACGAGCCGACATGTGCAGCTGGTTTGTGGGATTCGATGAGGAGTGTAGCAGGGTAGTGTGATTATAAGGGGAATATAAAGGTTGTCGAGGCGGAAGCAGAATATCACTAAGCTAATGGAATAAGAAAACAAAATAATAGCTACTATTGGGCATAGGACAAATTGATGGGGGAAACGATATCGAAAAAA